GAAAATGACGCGCGGACAGAGAAGAAGCTCGAGGACGAGCTGATAAATGCGTGCGCGATTGTTCGCGATCGATTATGGGAGCTGTCTTCTCCGACCACGCGAACGACGAGGACCTGGCTGGATTTTTCGATGAAACGAGGAACAAGGGGGACAGGGGGGAGAGGGAGAATGTAAGAATAGGACGAAAAATAGGAAGCTTGACTTGCGAATAGGATAACAAAATAAATAATAGAAGCATTAAACATGATTAATCACTTAACAACGTAACTAGGCGTAATAATTAATAATAATAATTAATAATATAATAATTAATAATAATAATAGAAATAATTATAATCATACGAATGGCTAAATGAGTGTTAATAATTACAAGAACAGGTTGTCTGGCACGGCGATCGCTTAAATTGCCCGAAGACACGACGAACGTGCGCATTTCTTTTTTTCTTTTTTCTTTTTTCGCTCCTCCCTTCCTCCTCTCTTTTATCATACAATTACGTCCCTTTGCTTTCGTCTCGTTTCCCTCGACGTTCTCGTCAAGCGAAGAAAGAAGGGCTCGTTGCGCGAGAGATTCTCTCAGTTCTTAAGGCTGAATCGCGCGAAGGTCGGACCTCGAGCCGGAAGTCTCGCTGCGACGAGCAAATGGTAACTCGAGGACGCGTTACTTCGTATCGTCCATCGATCGGGCTTATCCTTGCGATTTCGCGTCGCAAACGTCGGAAAATGAGATAACGAAGAAACAAAAGGAAGAGGAAGAATGATCTTTCGAAGGGAAAAATGATCTTTCGAACGGAAGAATAATCTGGGAAATAAGAATAACCGTGTTACTCTCTCGCGAGGTTGGACTTTTGGAATTTTGGGTTACAAAGTAAGGATAATCGTAAGACGTTACGAAAACGGATGTGTCCGGAAAATTTCGAGATACACCGCGCGAGACCTTCCGCCTCGAGGCCTATCCCTCGTGTATCCTTCTCTTGTCACTCCGACAAGCCGCCTTTCGAGTAATCGTTCGATCGACAGAGGCAAGTTAAAATGGCAAGCAGAGAGCGACAGTTTCCCCTTAACGGCTAATTACGCGTTCCGTTCCTCCTCGAAACGCTTAAAACGGTAGACTAATTAGAAAAAACCTCGGTATACAAAAATACAGATATACGTACCTGTGTGTATGCGTGCGCGCGCTTTTCGCCGCGCACGCCTTACCACCGTGTATTTCCTGAACGTCGTGCGTGTACGTGTGCGCGTGTAAAGACACAGAGCGAGCTAACGAGAACTGTCGTGGAATCGAAAGAACTCGTTATTCACCGATGTAATGGAAAAAATATTCTACGCAACGAAAATATCTCGCGTCGTATTTTTACATTTTACATTTTCCAAGGTATGCGCGTGACCTCGAGTTCTTTAAAATGCGCCTCGTAATTTCTTTTCTTTTGTTAACGTCGCGTTGTAGTCGGTTAATAAATAATGCAACGACCAGTCTTAAAGGCGACTTTGTCGGGGCTTCGAATTTCTGCCGGGCAAAAATTTATAGCGACCAACTTCGCGTCGCTTATTCCGGAGGTCACGAGCCTCCCCTAATTGCTCCAAATCAGCGTGCATCGCTCGACGAGACGAAATCTCTATCGCGTTGTAAACCATAAAATTACACGCGATAAATTTTCGTGGGTTTTCGTCCAGGCTAATCACGTCTCGAAGTTAACGCGAATTCACTGTATTATAGGTCGTTAAATTTCTCCATTCGTTGCCTACTCATTTCCAAAAAAATCACATGGTCACCTCCGTATCTCGATAAAAAAAAAAAAAAAAAAAAATTTAGAAAAAAA